GGAGAATTAGTTTGGGCAAAAATCACAGCTTTACTAAACCTTTTAAATTGTTACCTGCTGTCAGATATGAGTCAATTAGAACAAGGTGCCACAGGAAAAAAACCCTGCTCTCTAAGGATGCCAAGTAAAGATCATTTGTGGGTTTGCATGTTCACTTCAATTTTAACAGATTCACAGCTTGGTTTCCCTCCACCATCCACAAGTAACATGACTGGCAGAAATTCATAATGACCTGTGCTCTCTCATGCAAGACCCACTCTACGGTCTCAGCATAAGTGAATAAACATGCACACACCTACATGTTTAAGGAAAGACCTGCTTTGCCCCAGGAGAACACTCTCCTGCAGACACAAACTCTGGGGTACAGACTCCAGCCCACTCTTGCCTATGCAGTGTGACAAAGGCCTTCAGGAACTATGATAGTATCTACAACAGACTACTCTGATCTCTACCTCACTTTCTTCCCCTGGGGAATGAACAGAAAAGGTGCCTTATACATAACCTGCTTCCTCTTTATTTAAAAACAAAGGTACTCAAGAACAGCACGTTTTAGGGGGTTCACAAAGCTCATCTCCAGTTCACAGCTTACACCAAATTTTCTGCAACTCGAGAACACATTCTGGATTGTTTCCCTCCACATATAAAACAAGAATTAAGAGCAATACTCAAAAATAGTTACAAAATATTAGCAAACCATATGAGCATGTCAACCCTGGGTTTACTTTGTTCCTCCCATCACTGCAATCAGCAGCTCACAAAATGCACAGGTGTCTTTTCAGGGTGGCCAAGTTTGCATTATACAAGTAAATACCATCTCCTGCAGTGGGCAGGTGAATGCCCAAGCTGCTACAACACTAGTTTGCTTTTCTGTGGCCCAGAAGGGCTGTGCAATACCACTGTTTTGGCAGGTAAGGTGTTTGCTGGTTAAGGAATCAGAGCCCCTAACAGAGAAAATCTGGACTGAAAGGCAGGTGCAAGCCATGCTGAGAATGGATGAACTTCTTGCTGCAGAGGCCCATTTCACTGCTCTGTTGTGTTAACCATCACCTCCATCACTTCCCTCGTGAGACAGAACAGCTCTTCCATATACAGTAGGCATTGCTTACATTATGATGAAGGAACACACAGGACTCTGCCGATAGCCCCTTACCTAGACATTCAAGCTTAGCACAGAAAGATTCTTCTTCCTGTAAGACACCCTAAGCTCCTCCAAATACCAAACAAAAAAACCTGTCGATGTCATCTGATTGCATCACACCCCCCCCTCTCTCTCCAGGACTCAAAGGCATGTCTCCAAATAGCTATCTGCTTTGCAAAGCAAAACAGATGTTCCCTAACGCCCAAATCCTGGCCGCCTGCGAGGTGTTGATCTGCCACACCAAGGAGCGGCGAGCGGCAGGACCGGGGCTGTGCCTGCGCATCTGCGCTGCCACTGATGGGGAGACGTGCTCCTCATGCTGAAACGCCTTTGCCAGCCCCTGCGCTGCCTTTCTCCATCCGAACCTACTCGACACACCCAAAGGCACTGAAAAAGAAGCAAGCCAACCCAAAACCCAGGGTAGTGAAGGAGACAAAGCACCGATTTCCAGGATGAATCCAGCTAAACAACGGCCGGCATGCCAAGGCGCGGGCCGAACCGCCGCCGTGCCCAGGTAGCAGGACACCACCCACTGCCGCAGCACCGCCCGGGGCC